CCTCATTTTACAGCATGGATCCCCAATATGTTGGCCCCCTCAGCCAGCAGCAACAAGCCTCTCTTGAATGAGCCAGCCATCTCCCTGGCAACAAGGCAGGCTGTGAAAATAACAAGTGCTCTCCTCTCTGGTTTATGTTTCCCACCTCTCGAGAAGTGCCCTGCCTTTTATTAGCCTCCACCGCTCAAAAACATGAATGATGGCAAGCGAGATGCACCTCGTGGAGGGACGAAGAGGGAGGTGAGGGAGAAAGGTGGCTTTGGTCTTACCAGAAAAGGGTGACAGATCTTTACACCTTAGCGAAGGGCAGGATGAAGTACTTGTCCAGCGCTGTTAGAGTGATGAACCCAGCAGACCTGGTAGAGCAGGAATGGTTATATATATATATATATATATATATATGTATCCCCACACACACACGCAGCCCGCGGCCGAGGCCTCGGGGAAGGGGAGAGGGCGGCCCGCGGGCCCCGCCCTGCCCCGCTCCGTCCCCCGAGAGGAGCCGGGAGCGGCCTGGGAAGGGCCGGGGACCTCACCCCGGGCCCCGCGGCTCCCCCCCGGGGTGTGGGGGCCCGGCCCCCCCCCAAACCGGTATGTAGGTTAGGCGTGGAGCGGCCGGAGCCGTGGATATCCCCCTGGCTGGTGTCCCCCCGGCTTCCCCCGAATCCCTGGCGAGCACCCTGTTCCTGTTTTCAGCCTCCAGCCTGCGGCTTTTATCTCCATCCAGCCATTCAGATGGCTCGGGATTTTGCTGGAAAGACAAAACTACCCCGTAGGCAGTTAGAGGAGCGCTCCCCCGGTGCGGCACGGTAAGCTGGTAGGCCTCGGTGCCGTGAAAAGCTTGGAGTTGGGGAAGCAAAACGCTGGGTTACCCGTGGGGAAGGGGCGTACGCACCACAGACACCGGGTCTTCGGCCCCTTCCGAAAGGCAAAAGCTTCTCCATTTTCCCTTTGAAAGCCAGAAGGTTTGAGGAGAGCCCTGAAGTCTCATAGTCATTCTCGGGCTGCTGTGCCAAGATTCCCTAAATTTGCTTTCGTGTCTTCCCTTGTGCAGTGATTTGAAAGAGATGCAGGGCTCACCGGGCTTATTCTTCTGATGTGTCTCGACTGTAGCAAGAGCTCAAAAATATTTGAGGGAGATTTTAAACACTGCCACGCTTACAGATTTAAATCTTGGTCTAAAGAGGCAGCTAAAGCCTTCTTTTAAAATGAGGTAGCATTGGGGTAATAAAGCTGCTGGATCTGAAGCGCAGGTAGAGAAGAGGGTGAGGTGCCTGGTGCCTGTGGAAGCTGGGGAGGGCAAAAGGCGGGGGATGATAGTGAATCTTGTGACTTTTGGGACCTGGGGAAGAAGGCCAGAGATGAGTAAGTTTGTGTCATGTGGAAGAAACACTGAAAACGTAAGTCGCCTTGTGGATTTTGTTCTCACTGGAGTCCTCAGGACTTCTCTCTGGGGTCTGGGTTTGACGGGGCATCAGCCCCCGGTGAAAATGCCACCTTGAGAAATTCCCAATCTCTTCCGTCTTAATCCCAGCCACCTATTCCTGTCTTCACACCCAAGTTGCTGCTCCTCAGTCCTGTTACAGCTGTGGGGCTCTGCTGTAAATGGGATCACTGAAATCATCCAGGTTAAAAATAACACTCGGGGGGAGGGGAGTAGTGGCTTTTTAAGCCAGCAATGCTGCTGAGGAGAGCGTAGTATTGAACAGCAGCCTTGGAAAACTTAGTTTAAATCCATGAAGAATGAGGATTTGGAGGCTTCTTGTAGAGGTGTTGGTTGGTTTGCAGATTTTAGTCCTGTTGAGATATTTTCAATTTTGTTTGCTGTTCAGGAGATTGCTCAATAAATTCCTAGAGCGATGGATACCACCTGACAGTGCGAAATCCTGGACTTTCCTACCAGCTGAGGGCATGTGTTGAGGAAGAACACTGATCTGGAGGGTTCAAGGTTGTAAAAAACTCTTGCTCACATCATGGTGAGCTGATCTCATGTTCCCACTGTAGAGACAATTAAAAAAAAAATAGGGCAAGGTTTTTAAAACATGTCTGAAGTATATATATTTATTTTAAATTTACTTTTAACAACCATATACTGAAGAATCATGAGGCCACATCCCAGGAAGTAGAGGAGAGATGCGGGAAGGTGTATGGGGTGAGTGTTCACATGCTTGTCTCGAGCTAGAAATCTAAAGTTTGCTGTGTCTGCCAGCACCCAAAGCATGGAAAAGGGATATTCTGGAAAATTAGAGGGTAACTCCTCTGCACCTTAATGGAGAGGAGAAGAACCAGCTCACCCGCAGTACTGGGCGGACAGGATACTTTTCATACGAGGGAATGGCTTACTTAAGAATATGCTAACATTTACTAATCGTTTGTTATTGAGCTGGGGTTGAATCTGGAAAATAAAAAAATCATTTGTGTGCTTTTGGATCCAACTGGTTCAATTAAGGATCCGTTGGCCATTTCTACAGGCACCTTGTGATGAGGTGGAGTGGAGCTCGTCAGAGGCATTCAGTTTTCAGCATACCTTTAGCTTACATTGTACAGACATCAAGGTAAAAGAAGTTTAATTTTAAGACACAAACTCTGAATTTTCCAGATTTTGGGTAGGGGAATGCATACACTGCCTCTTCTTGAAGATCCAATTATCATTTTGTATAACCAATCAAGAGTAATTATTAGTCCCTCTGCTCTGTTCCAGTATGATAATGGCTGGACAGGCAATAATCCACATCAAACACTTAAATCAGGGATACTTTCTGACCTGTGGGTGAGTACTGAAACTCAGACACCAGAATCAATCATGATCAATCACAAAATGAGGAAAACTTTTCATTATGTACATCAAAAGTGTTACTTTGCATCTTTAATAGCAAGCTGGAACTAGTGAAGGCCCGTGATAGTCAAGATATTGCAGGCAAACACTTGATCAGTCAGTTTGTGTTTCTCGCTTAGAGCCATTAAATAGGATTTGGCAGCCCTCTGTGTAGAATTTTGGGAAGTCTTTTGATTTGAGCAGCAAACCCTAAAGAAATGTTAAGTAACCTTCCAGTCTTGCTTTTGGGGCAGTGCACTCGTGGCTTTTGCACGTATAAATAACTTACTGAAACACAATAATAAATGTTACACTTATATGGCTCCTTCAAATTAGCTTCAGAGGATAAAGCCTTTTATGATTGAAAAGATAAGGCTGTTGCTTCAGTGTCAGCAGTGCCCGGGTTGATTTCAGAGCCTTGAAAATAAATGATACGTGTTTGTTGTTCATTGTGGCACTCCTAGTTTCCAGGTTAGGGAAGTGGCCCTCTGTCTAGTGTTTGTAGTTTCCTGGTAAAGGAATGATACTGAAATCTCTCTCACGATAAAGTTTAATTTCATAGCCTTTTAAAGCTGAGCTTGTTAAGTATCTGGTAACCTAAATATTACATTTTTTCTGGTTACTCGAGTTTTTTAAATAATGTAATTTGTGGTCATATGAATATTTGGGAAGTTTACAGGATTGTGTAACATTTAGATAAACTGACAGTACATAGCTGCCATTTATCAGAGTTAAAAACTCAAAAATCCTTAAGGATTCTTTGTGAAATAGTTGGTTTATCACAGCTGGGACAAGATGTGACTGTGGGAGAGGGGGACGCTGCGTGTCGGGAGCGGAGCTGGAGCTGAAACAGGCACCTGCTGGGTCCTACTTCCAGCATTTTAAACTGTTGATTTGTTGGGTGTGCAGGGATAGTTCTGAATGAGCACAGTTAAGATCTTTTTTTATTATTTTTTTGGTGGAAGTAGTTCATCTATTTTATTCATCTGTTAGCTTGAGATTTAATTATTCTAACCCTAATTTTCTTGGGGTCTGGTTATCAGTGCAGCGCACTCCTATTACTCACTGTCTAGGTCAACTTTTTTCCATTCTGCCTTTGACTCCTGGGAGGGCTGGAACAAAGAAGGGATGTTGCAGCCCTTCTGTTCTTCAGCATCGTGCCCAAAAGGCAGACATGAATAACTGGCAACAGAAACAAACATCTGGCTCCCAAACTTAAAAAACGGGTTGTTTTAAGCTTCTAACTGGAAGTTCTTAAGGCTGTTGCAGCTCCAGCCCATCACCTGTGGTGGTTTGGAGCTTCAGAGAGGTGCGTGGTTGGCTCCTGACTTCCTGGTATTTACCTCTTTATAAACTGCTTTTCTTTGGAGAGCCTTGTGTGGTGATTCATTTCTTTCGTTGCAAAACTTTCGTTGCAAACGAGGTGTTTCTTGGTTGCAAAGCAACCTATCTTTACTTTAAAGAGTTTACAACCTGACGTAGGTGACTCTTTGAAATATCTTTCCCAGCCCCTTTAATATGTCTTAAGGATACTCTGTTATATTTAGCAATGTTTAACCTGTATCTGTTGCTTTTTATAGGTTAATTATGCGGTATCTGCTAGACTAAAGAATGTGTAGTCTTCTGATCCTGCTGCACGCCAGTTAAAGATTAATTGTGACTCTCTTACATGTAAACCCTGAAAAATTAAGCTTAATGAGTGTAGTATTTGTGGTCAGTGTCATTTGGAGGGGAAAGTTGTCTAGTGAAAATATATGATTGTGTTATCCAGCCTTGCAACTTGCGTTTCCAGCAAGTGTAATTAGAGCTGAATTTGAGCATTAGAGGTTCTGTGCTGAGTGTTCAAGTCTGGTGCTTCAAAGTCGGGACCTCAGGGCTCTGGGGACCCTTCTGCCACTGGCTTGGAGAATAGGAACGTCTTTGCTCTTCTCCCCCCTCCCAGAAAGGCCTCTTTCAGCTCTGTAATTCATAAGGCTGATTGCATTGATCGTAGTTACAAAGGGATTTACTTGTCTGTGTGGATTTGACAATTCTAAAGCATGTGCCACTGCTACAGGCCGAGGTACTTGGATGTTCTTTGGAATGAAGTGAATTTTTCCAGTGGGCCAATTAGTTGTGGCGTTGGCAACTTTACTACTTGGCTACCATTATTTGCTCGAGGTGCTGATGAATAAAACTTCATATTCCTTTTCTCATTGAAGTTTGAAATTCTTAAAAAGATACAGCCTAGAACAGAACGGAGGTAATTTTAGTTGTCTTTTTTTTAGATAATAAAATGCTAAAAACATACATGCTTGTTATAATGCTACATTTAGAAAAGGACTGTGAAGCTGAGTGACAAGATTTTAATAATCTGGTCTTATAAATGGCTCTAGAAGATGTCTTGTGGTGCACCTTCTCCTGTATTTTGGGTAGGCTGGCACTCTACTGAAGCCATTCAAATTCTTGGTTCTCAAGTCCTGAAAAGGTTTTTCCATCAAGTCCTTTCCTGCTCTGATAACTGCTGAAAATCAAAAGCTTTACCACAAATTTGAGTCCTACTTGGCAGAGTCAAATAATTAGCCTTTTTGGGTCTTCTGCCTTCAAATGGTGTTACCTTGGAAAACGTTTAGGGGAGAATTTAAGCTGTTGTCTCCTACTGGGTGAGGTGTTCCTCCCCAGAAAGCAGTGCTGAGCAGGAGGGGTTGGGAGGTGTGTGTCATCTTAGTCTAATGACAGGTTAAGATGTCTTAAAGGTCTGCAATTTTATTGCAGGGCAGACCTGCTTCTGGTATCTGTGTCTGGCTCATTCAATAGGTATTTCAATTGGGATTAATTTTACTAGAGCTTCGTCAAAAGCAACCGGTTTAAAGTTTTGAAACGTTCCTTCATTGCAGATGTTGGTCTTAGATGTTGGTCTTAGTTCATCTGCTGCTTTTAAGCAGGGCAAAACCCCTTTCCTTGTGGGCATTTGTAGCTTGCTCTTGCCTCGATTGGCCTCTTCTTGTTGAAGAGTAAATTTATTATATTCTAGAGCAAGGTGAAGCAGGGTGACAGCTCTGTAATTGGTTATACCTTATGCAGGGAGATGCCTTTTTGCCTTTTCATATGATTGCGTTCAGGGAAAGCACTGCAGGAGTGGAATATCTCTCTTCACATGGTACTGGCAGAAATGTAAAAGCAGTTTCAAGGTATCTCTTGCAGTAAAACCCGTTCATTCATCTCGGTGACCGGCGTGGTGGCTGTGAGCACGGGGCTACGGGTGCTTGGGAGATAAAATGGTCATAGGTGAGGTATGCTGGGCGGTTTATAGCTTTGTTTTGGTTTTGTCTTACAGGTGTGTCTGTACTTCATTATTTTTGGTGGCTCAGAGGGAGGAGGCTCACGCTAGAGCCTGTGTGCCAACATGAAAACTCTTTTTTTTTTTTTTCCTTCTTTATTCCTCCACCCCCCACTGAATTAACTGATGAAAAGCCTCAGGAGTGTGCTGTACAGGTACACTCTCAACATTGACTTCTTTGCACCCTGACTTTTGCCCTTCATTTTGGGGAAGCTCGTCCCCAAAATGTGTATTAGACTACAGGCTCGCTCAATGCCTTTAAATACTTCCCACTATGTTGCACTCTCTTGTAAAACCGGCTTGAGGTTTGTAGGAGGTAAGAAAAAAAAAATTATCTAAAAATAGGTAATTGCCTTTTTAAGGAGCCTCTGAAGTTATCTCTGCTTAAACCTAAACTTTTTTATTTTGCAGGCACAGCACTACGCTGAAAATTCTTCTGTCCTCAGAAGAGGTTGTTTTTAAGAGATGGAGCCTATTGTTAAACCCAGCATTGTCTGCAGTTTGGACAGCTCTTTGTGCAGCTCCAGTGCTTAATCCAGAGAGATTTGGATTTGTAGATTGAATAAAGGTCTCTACGAGACGTTTATAAAAAGCTGTTCTCATTCTGATTTTTCTAGGTTGTTTTTAAGAGATGGAGCCTATTGTTAAACCCAGCATTGTCTGCAGTTTGGACAGCTCTTTGTGCAGCTCCAGTGCTTAATCCAGAGAGATTTGGATTTGTAGATTGAATAAAGGTCTCTACGAGACGTTTATAAAAAGCTGTTCTCATTCTGATTTTTCTGGGTTGTAGAAGACCTTAAAAAAAAAAAACCCAAACCCTAATATTGGGGTGAAAATTGTTGGCCTTTGATCTTAGGTTTTGGGAAGGGCTGTAATCCTTTAGGTTCATGCATACCAAAAGATTTCAGACTGTAAATCTTTACTAGAAGCATCGAATCTGAGCCGTGTTACTTCAGCTGTTACATTTGCTAGTTTTCTGCTTTGCAAGCATGTTGTTTTTAGAGTCGGATGAAGTTTATTAGGTAACATTGTTTTGGTTTTATTGCCATAAAGAGGTAACATGGTGAGAAGAAGGCAGCAGCTCTTACGTGCTGCTCTGTGGGACACGCTGCTGCAGGGGGACTGACAGGCAGGATTTGGAAAGATTCACTAATAATCAGGCTTGTCAAAAAGTATATAAGCCCTTACGTAATATTTCTTACACAAACAATTCTGTTAATAGGAATAAGCCCTGGGTGCTTGCTGTGCAAAGTTGGTGACTGAGGTTAGAAAGAAACTTCTGAGTCAGGTTGGCCTTGTGTTGACCATCAACGGTGGGGCTGGCTTTCCCTGGGGTACCTGGAATTAGCCCTTTGGCTCACAGATTGTGAGAGGGACCCTTCTTATGATGTGGGTACGCCTAGTATGTTATGCATTTGAATTTCTTAAGCCTCACTTACCGCTGACTAGACTTGAATTTGGGTTTTATGTACACAATGACTCAGGAACTGAGGTAGATGCAGATACTCAGTTCAAGGCTGAATATCTGCTTCCGTTTACTCATCTTGTGTGGATACCAGCTCCTTCATGGCGGAGTGATAAGTGTCTGCTTCCACTGTGACGCTTCACAGCTTAGTGTTTTGGCTTTAGTTGTAATAAACACCTTGACGTTGGGGTGCGGGAGTGGTGAGCTGGTGTGTGCTGTGCTGATGGTGTGTACAGGGGCCAAGGAGCTCTGGGTTCACGAGGACCAGTTTCCATCACAAAGGGGTCCAGCTGGTTTCTGGGGGTACAGGTGTTAATAGGGCATTTTAAGGTTATGATAGTCAAAAACCAGGAAAGGTGAAAAACCATTCCTTAAGCTCTAAGGAATTTGCACTCTGGGATAGGGAGCAGTTCCTTTGTGCGTGTGTTAAACTCCACTTGGCTCTTAGAGAAATTCTTGCTCGTTTAATTAAAGAACTGGCATTGTCTACAGCTAGAAATTGTGCCCTGGACCAGCAGGACTACCAGCTCCATCCAGCGTGATGATTCTAGCGGTTTCAGCCATAAGTTTCTAAATAATTCCTAGTTTAATTCCCAAATATTTTACCCCCTTTTGTAATTAATTGATATTTAATTTGAATTCCTCTGTATTCAAGCTCTTGCATCCAAATAGAAAGCTGGCACAGTGAGACGGTTTATTACTACGCTGGGAGCTGGCCACTTGTTAAATAAAGCAAAGTGTGTGTAGCCAAGAGCTGGCAGAAGGAAAGCTTTCAGGAAAATGTAAAGGCGAATTTCTTGGCAGATGTTTTTAACCTAAGACATTCTTCTGGTGTCGACAGTTGAGGACCCAGTGCCATAGGTTGTATTTCTGATCATCTCTGAGAGATGTTTGCAGTCGAAGGCTGTTACTAGAGTCTCCTGGAGGTCATCTCTAAAAAACCTCTCTATCTATTTTTATTGGTCTTGGGTTCCCAGACACATACAAGAGCCCTATTGTCAAGCTTTTGTACCGATTTTTAGCAGGCACTCCATTCCCTTAAATAATTTACAGTGTTGATAAGTAGGCCTAGATGGCTTGGACAGGATTTGAGTGCACATGTTCTGGAACAAATGACAGCAGTCAGGGAAATACCTTTTTTCTTTTTTACCACTCTTAACCACTAAATTCTATTTCAAACAGTAGATGATGGAGGGGTTTTAGATTAAAGGGAGGTGGAAATTCCTACTTATGGGAGCTCAAGGGAGCAGGGAACGTTGTTTCTTCCTGATGCTCATCCAACTTCTCTTCCAGGTGAAACATGCAACCAACCAAATTGTGATGAACTGTGCTGACATTGACATTATTACAGCTTCCTATGCGCCAGAAGGAGATGAAGGTAGGATTGCTTTTTTTTTCTGGAGTTTTTACATGTTAATCCATTTAATTTTTCATGCGAGATGCTGTTGCCAACTCTTTATAACTCTGCAAAATTGCATAATACTTTGATAAACAAACCCACCCCTCAAAGCACAAAATTCGTTATTGAACCTTTATTCTCTTCTCATCAGTAAGATTTGCATAAAAAGTTATCTCAAGTTTCCATGGAATCTGCATTCTGCTCCATAGTATCTGTGTGTTGTAGGCAAAAGGATGTTTATTTACATTTTTATTTATCTTTATACCAGGTAGTTGCGTAAGAACATGATCTGTACCTGTGGACTTCAGGGTATTGACAAAATCTGTGACAAGGGCTTAGATAAGGCACGCATCAATAATGGCCTGCAGCAGGAAATGCTCATGGGGAAGGGTTTGGAAAAGTACAGAAGACTCTAAATTGACATTTAGCAGGATGTTCCAAGGATAGGGCAACATGGGAAAAGGTGATTATATGGAGGAGACGGTGGTTGGGGTCCAGTTCAGTGAAAGACTGGAAATTACTGGAACAATTGAAGACACAGTTCTAGCAGTTGACATCTTCCCCAATTATATTCCGAGGAGATTTAGCAGAGGCAAAAAAAAGTTTAGCAATTGAAGCGTGAAATGATTAAGGTGTGGAAAATAAGCTCCTTGAAACAGAGCAATGGTCTAACAGTGTGCAGAGCCGTGCTGGGTTTCTGCTGGAGCCACTGCTGTTTCAGACACAGTAGCTGTTTGCTGTGCTGTGTATGACTGCTAAGTCCTTCAGCCAACAAAAGGCTCTCTTGAGCTTCTCTTTCTATAAGGAAAATGCCACAATGATGTCACGAAGCACTTTGTTAAACCCATGATTGTGAATTAAAGGAATGATCTTGGTGGACAGGCGAAAGGTGTTCCTGTGATTAGGTTTTAACTTCTCTAGCATGCTCACACCCCAGCTGGAGGAAGTCGGAGAGAAGGGCTGTGCTTATCCAAACACCTGCAGAAGAAAAGAAATCTGAATTTTCTGGATTGGATTTGGTAGGAACAATTGCAGTTCATGCTGTAGTGACATTGTCCTGTGACTAATAGTGGTGTCTGTGACAGGTGGAATCTCTGCAACGGATCTTTGTGTTTAAGCTCGTTTGACTTCTGTATTTTTATTTTAATATAGTATTAAAGGAACCAGAGGGCTTCTTAAGTGCAGTTGGGAGCAGTTGAGCTGTGTTTGGGCGGATGGGGAGCTCCAGCCCGAGGAAGCAGCAGCGTTTTGGGTGGGTGTGTTGTGGGAAAGCAGAGCTCTAGTGCAGGAAGCGCAGTGGCAGCGAGAGAGGGTGGCAGAGAAGAGTCTTCCCAAAGAGCCTGGACTCCAGCCACCCGATTTTGATAGTGAAAGAACAGAGCCCTGTGTCCTACGTGCTGGGTTTGGGCTCCTGGGGTTGTCCCCTGGCGCTCCGTTCCCTCGTGCCTTTCGCGCGCTGCCGTTAGCGGTCGTTAGTTGATTGGATGCACCGTGTTGCTAAGCTCTCCTGGAGTTATTTCTCATTCTGAGTAATGAGGCGATAACGAGAGTGGTAGTAATAGCAGAGTGTGTCTGGAGTCCGTTCCACCTACCACCCGCCCAAACCACCTATTAATTTATTATTTCGTCATTGAGAAAAATGAAAATAAATGGAAAAGGTACCTAAGAACAAAGTCTCTTTCTAGTCAAACCAGGAAAAATACATATAATGGAGAGGGTCTCTATTTTAATATATTATATTTGTTGTTTTCAGGGCTGATTTCCCTCTCATAGAAGTCTATTTTCCTATTCTTTAACTTCCTTGTAACTTCCAAGTGTTAATAGTGGAGCCTAATGGAGAATTAAACCCAAGTATGCTGGAAGTGAGTTTCTGTGGCTTAAATTCCTTCACTCTGATTTTTTCCAATAGCCTTGGACGTGGCTCTCTGGCCACCAGGATCACGAGCCCAGCGCTCCAGCTGCAGTAACAGGCTCTCACCCCTCAAACTCCTGTATCAGAAATACTTGAGGGGTAGCTTAATCGCATGTTTACTATAATTATACCCAGGCTTTGTGGGGTTAAAACCTATCTTTCAGTTTGGGAAAGTGCCAACCAGTGTAATGGCTTTGGAAGTAAAATTGCATGAAATTGGCAGACTATTTGCTGGCACCTGTTGATACAGATAAGGTCGGGTTTACTAATGCTGCTATTGTGCCCAGCTCTTGGATGGTAATTGTATAACTGGTCTCAAAACCAGTACACGAAATTTAGTCCAGTGAACCAACAGAAATATTGGCCAGATCATTTGGACTTAGTTCCTCAGGTGAGCCACCTACCCATTGCCTAGATAGTGTGTTTGAAAATAAGTGAGAAGTTGGTGATATTTTCCTCCTTTAAAGGCTCTAGTGAGAATTTGTTACCTCTTTTAGTTCTGTACCTCAGGGGGGAAGAATTTGTCTCTCGTGAGACAAAAGATAATCGGTCACTTATCTTCTTTCAAGTGTGGTTCTGTTCTGAAAAGGGGCTGTGTGAAAAAGAGCCGCTTGTTCAACAGATACTTTTCCCCTCTGTGTGGAGGTGATCTGTTGGCTTTCGTGCAGAATAGTTTATTCTTTTCCTAATAATTCCTGGTAGTCTGGAGTGCCAACTGCACTGTTGTACAGCAGAAATCTGCGCTAGAACCGTGGGCTGTGTTTCCCCTCCCTTCCCCCCGTTCACTCTTCCAGAGATGGATACAGCATGGAATTTTAATGCAGATTTGCAGAGAAATCAGATTATTGCCCAATATTTGACAGGAAGCTGAGGGGAGGATCTCTGAAGCTTTAAAGTCAAAGTGAAAAATTTTTGCTGCGTGACCCACAATTGAGTGGTAGTGAATAATAAACCAGGAGAGATTGATTATTCAGTGCTTCGGAGTAGAAAAATGCTCTGTTTAGTCATAAAACTGGTGGGGTGGTTGTGACTGGAGGTTGTGGATGTGCTGTCCGTGCCAGGTACGCTGTCACGGAACAAAGCTACTCAAAAGACCCAACTTTTCCGTAGCTGAAGTTACAACTGGCTCCTCCCACTTGTCAAAAGGAACAATTGTTCTTGTATTTTTCCAGAAGCTGGTTTATAGCGTTTGTAGGGAAATGTTTATAGAGCAGCTGTAGCGTTTAGGTGCACGTGCTGCTCTGCCTTTGTCCCAATGGTTGGCTTTGCTCAGCAAAATGAAGAACTGAGAAGGGATTCGTTCCTCAGCAAGGTGGTTCTGAGGGGAGATTTTAGGGGATTGAGTTTCACGCTGACTGAATGCCCAGAAGGTGGACCTTCCTGGGAATCTCTCTTTTAAGGAGCCGTAAGACTGTGATAGTCATAACTGGTGAACTACATCACAGACTCACAGAATGACATGGGACCTCTGGAGATCACCCAGTCCAACCCCCTGCCAGAGCAGGTCCCACAGGAACATGTCCAGGGGGGGTTTGAATGTCTCCAGAGAAGGAGACTCCACCACCTCTCTGGGCAGCCTCTGCCAGGGCTCTGCCACCCTCACAGGAAAGAAGTTCCCTGTCCTTCTTGAACTGGGGAGCCCAGAACTGGACCCAGTGCTCCAGATGAGGCCTCCCCAGGGCAGAGCAGAGGGGGAGGATGACCTCCCTCAACCTGTCTTTAGCTTGGAAAGCTTTTCAGATACTGGGGGATCTAAAGCAGCTTCTGAAATTTAGAGATGCTTGTAGTAGTTGGCAATTTCGTGTAGAAAAATGACCAGCAAACATGGTGGTGTTTGTTTAGCAGAAATAATCGAGTGAACTTGGATTTGTACTTCGACCTTTCAAAGGTTTTGAGGCCAGAACTCATTACTTCAGTCTTTTCCTTCTTAGTGTGGTAGGGACGCACTTGGATGCTTGTGCTAGAGGCTGGTTACACCAGGGCCTCACTGGTGCTTAAAAGGAGAAGAAAAGATGACTGGTGCTCATGGAAAGCTGTGTGACCCCGGTGTGCCTAAGCAGGGCTGGCCCTTGGCCTGGGAGCACGACCGTTTCAGGGTGAGCAGTGTGAAACCCTGCTGCTGTGGGAAGGGACAATGATGCTTCTCTCCCTCCCTTCTGTTGGCATCGGTGTCCTTACCCTTGAGAAGCCACGTGGGTCAGGAAACTGTCTCTTCGAGGGGAAAAAATAAAAGCTGCTTGGAGACAGATCACCTTCCTGGTCCTGATGGTTGTGTGGGAATGGCCCTGGAAGGAAGGGAACGGGAATACGCAGCTGGGGCCAGGTGGGAAAAATGAGACGGGTGTCGCTGCCCGTAGCAGACTAGATTTTGTTTAAGCCAGTTGTGAAACCTTTCTTTGTTGTAGAAAAGCTCGTCATCATCCTTTCTCTTGGAGAGGACTTGATATAACAGAATTTGGAACAGTAGGATTTTTTTAAGGAGGCCTGGGCTGGGTTGGAATGGACAGTTTGGGAATATCCCAGAATCCTTCTGACTCCTTGAAAGGATTTTACAACCACGGGTTTGAAACACGTGAAAAGATGTGAAAAGGCCTGAAAGCAAGTTTGCTGATGACACAGAGAAGAGTGTGACCAGCAGGTGGAGGGAGGTCATCCTGCCCCTCTGCTCTGCCCTGGGGAGGCCCCATCTGGAGCACTGGGACCAGTTCTGGGCTCCCCAGTTCCAGAAGGACAGGGAACTGCTGGAGAGGGGACAGCAGAGGCTACAAAGATGCTGAGGGGCCTGGAGCATCTCTCTGATGAGGAGAGGCTGAGGGACTTGGGGCTCTTTAGTCTGGAGAAGAGAAGGCTGAGGGGGGATCTGATCAACACCTATAAATCCTTCAAGGGTGGGGGTCAGGAGGATGGGGCCAGGCTTTTTTCAGTGGTGCCCAGGGACAGGACAAGAGGGAACGGGCACAAACTTGAACATGGGAAACTCCACCTAAACATAAGGAGAAACTTCTTCACTTTGAGGGTGGCAGAGCCCTGGCAGAGGCTGCCCAGGGAGGTGGTGGAGTCTCCTTCTCTGGAGACATTCAAACCCCTCCTGGACACGTTCCTGTGGGACCTGCTCTGGGTGGCCCTGCTCTGGCAGGGGGTGGGATGGGATGATCTCCAGAGGTCCCTTCCCACCCCAATCATTCTGTGAGTCTGTGAAACATGAAGGTTTTGGGGAATGGCATCAGTGCAGCTCGGTGGCTGATGCAGAGGGAGGACAGTGTGTGCTGTGTCAACATGTAGCTGTTTTAACAAACGTGGTTCGTTTGCAGACAGAGCAGGCAGAGTGCACACAGTCACTGCGGCTCGGTTGATGAGTGCAAGTTCATTAAGCCACCGCACCTTAATTGCCTGTGACTTCTCCGTGCCGTGGAATGAGGGCTACTTGGAAAAAAAAAAATAATAAAATTTCATCTCTTGCACTTGGCTTTGAAATCCGTGCACATTTGACATTGCTTAAAACCTTTGGCCGGGATCCATGTTTCTAAGCGTGTAATACAGAAATTGGGATCATTAATTGATGGATCCATCTGGTTACTGTGCAATTTCCGGAAGTGCTCTATAGAAGAACTGTAATTTATTTGAAAAGCTATTGTCAAATTTGGTGTGTGGTGCAGTGCTCTGAGTTGGGGAGGTTGCTCCATCTGATTTTTATGCCTTTTTTTTTTTTTCCCAAAGACGTGGAGCACTAACAGCTTTTTATTTTCTCATGCAGCTCGGTCCAGGCTCTGCACTAATGTGCTAGTGATTAACTTGCAACCTTGCAGTGCCAAACTCTCCCAAGTTAGTGGGCTGCCAAAATTGTGTTGTTCTCTTCAGGAGCTTTTGTATTCGACGCCGTTAGGAATTCAGACAGCCTTTTACTGCAATTACATCTTTGTTAGAAGCCATTTCTCTTAAACTCTAACAAAAAGTATTGTTGATGGTTTTCCACGGTTCTTTTGCTCTGGATTAAATTATTGGCGCTGAATAGTTTAAAAAAAATAAAATAATAAAGTATGTAACTTTGAATTTTTCATTTGTATTCTGCTGTTTTGGAAATTGGTATAAAAGCAGCTGCTTTGAGAATTGTAAAAAATTATAGAATCATAGAATCATCTAGGTTGGAAGGGACCTTCAAGATCATCTAGTCCAACCATCAACCTAACTCTGACAAAAACCCATCACTAACCTATGTCCCCCAGCACCATGGTCAACCTGTCTTTTGGACACTTCCAGGGGTGGTGTCTCAACCACTTCCCTGAGCAGCCCGTTCCAAGGCTTGATAACCCTTTCTGTGTAAAAATTTTTCCTAATATCCAACCTGAACCTCCCCTGGGGCAACCTGAGGCCTGGGGTGCGCGTGGAAAGACTCTTCCAGGCACCAATTCCTCAATGAATGTGGGTGTTGGGAAGCTGTAAAATGAGATTTACCTTCCATCCCAGGTGGGCTCTTGCCATGACTTTGCAGTTGGATGGGGGGCGAGGACAGGACCCTCCTTTGGTGGAGATGGGGAGGTGCTGGGTCTGCTTCCAGAGGATTTAAACAATAACTTGTTTAAACCTTGTTTCTAACCTGAGGGCGATTGGCATCTGGGGCTGTGAAATGAAGGGTGAGAAGCTCTTTGAAACAAGGTTGCTTTGGGCCATGTGTGAATTCTTTCCCAGGCTGCTGCAGAGGGGGGTGAAAAACCCTGAAGGTCTCCACTTCCTTCCAGAGCCGATAAACTCTACCTGTGTCTTTCCTGTGGCTTTTCTAGGACAGGCTTAAAAAAAAAAAAAAGGTTATAAAGTTAGGGGAGAACGCAAATTCGAGCAGGCTGAGGAGAACTTGGCGTTTGGGAGAGGAGGAGGGGGAAACTTGATATTCGTTGTCAACTTTTGGCAGAAGATGTGCATAACAGGCATTCTTCTGTATTTCTCGGTTTCACTAGGTTAGAACTATGATCCTGAAGTCATGGTATTGTTTGTCTTCGGTATCAGATTGTTTCCATTAGAAGCTGTAAAAAGATACAAATGTTTTCGGTTTGCTGTGGTCATTTTAAAATACAGGAGGAGGGGGGGAGGGATTCCGCATTCTTGTACTGATCTTTATCAGCCTTTTCTCAGGTTTTTGGTGCAGCCTCTGCCCACAGGCTGACAGCTCAGCATCTGCAGGTTGTCCGGCAGTGGGATTCCTCCCGGGAAGGCTCACGTAAATTCCTGACAGGTATCCAGCCCGTCCTTGGACTCTGGACATAGCTGGGGTCAAAAATTCATTGGAATGAATTGAAATTCTGGCTGGGGAGCCCAGTTCCAGCCTAGAATATTGTACATTCACTGAATGACAGAATGATGAGCCTAGAATATTGTACATTCACTGAATGACGGAATGATGAGGGGTTGGAAGGGACTTCTGGAGATCATCCCATCCAACCCCCTGCCAGAGCAGGGCCACCCAGAGCAGGTCCCACAGGAACGTGTCCAGGTGGGTTTGAATGTCTCCAGAGAAGGAGACTCCACCACCTCCCTGGGCAGCCTCTGCCAGGGCTCTGCCACCCTCAAAGTGAAGAAGTTCCTCCTCATGTTTAGATGGAACTTCTTATATTCAAGTTTGTGCCCATTCCCTCTTGCCCTGTCCCTGGGCACCACTGGAAAAAGCCTGGCCCCATCCTCCTGACACCCACCCTTGAAGTATTTATAGGCGTTGATCAGATCCCCCCTCAGCCTTCTCTTCTCCAGACTAAAAAGCCCCAAGTCCCTCAGCCTTTCCTCATCAGAGAGATGCTCCAGGCCCCTCATCACCTTTGTAGCCTCTGCTGTCCCCTCTCCAGCAGTTCCCTGTCCTTCTGGAACTGGGGAGCCCGGAACTGGTCCCAGTGCTCCAGATGGAGCCTCCCCAGGGCAGAGCAGAGCGGGAAATTAGTGTTGTTCCCCTCAATATCTTCTCTCCAACTCTCGTATAATATCTTCTTTTATGCCTCACTGTTCCATGGAGGTAGAAGAAGAAAAGTTAAACCTTTCCTTTTTGTTGCTGGTTGCCCAGCACTTGCTGGCACTGTGATGTCCTTGGCGTCTGTTCTGTTTAAATGGCCTAACTCATCCCTCTTACAGTTGATTTTAAAAATCCTGGAACTCCTCAGTACAGACTGGTAGTCTAAAGTTCTTCTACTTGATCCTTCTTGAATTGATTCTTGTACTGTATTTTTTTATTTTTTTCAGCTAGAATTGTTTTATTGTGAGCATTTCTGGGTTATATACCCCGCATGGTGGTTAGGTCTGATTAAACGCCGAGTGGAGCGCTGTGAAACCAGTAGTTAAGCCTCCTGCCTTCATGCAGTTTCTGCATTTATGTTCCCTGTGAGCAGAGGGTGGTATTAACTCTGACTTGAGGCTGAAATCATACTATTCCAGAATAAATAGCACTTTAAGTTTTATAATAATAAAAACATGTTTCCAGTTGCTTTTGACACATATGGAACAACTTAGCGGAACATCTTGCGGATGTGCTCAGGCAGCCTCTGAAACCCAATACCTGGATTCTTGTGGGGATATTTGAGCACAGAAGGCAGGTCGTTCTGTAAATTAAGTTGTTGTTTCAAACAAGCCTCGTCAGTCAGAATTCCACGTAATGAAGGAGTTGATAGAGTGGTACGTTTTTCTTTTAGGATGTTGACCTCTGTGTATCACAGCACTTTCCAGTGTTCTTTTTTGCCCTTGTTTTTTTCTGTGACCATTCAAAACTAGTATCTATTTCAGTAGATCATTGGAGCTATTTACTGAATCTTTCTTCCGAGGCCAATTTTGAATGTACCTGAAAGTATCTCTAGCCCCTTGGTAGCATTTCAATATCCTGGGTGTGTTTTCACTTCGATTTGAGTGGTGTAAGTGGGATGGGGACAGGCAGCTTGTACTGGATGCTCTTACTTTAAACTGGTCTGTGCATTTCCCGAACCTTTCCAAACTACCGAACTGCCAGAAGTTTATTATATTTATAAATCTGGAATTATACATCAGTGTGTCTGCAGCTTGGCCTCCCAGTTTGTCCGTTTGCACCTACAAATAGATCTAATGCTGTGTAAATGCCCTACTGCTTAATATTCTAGTTGATTTTGGATGCCCTTGCTGAAAGGTATATAAACTCCAAGGTAGGTCTCTGGTTCTGAAGACAATCTTTAAATAAAACCAATATTATGGGGTTTTTTTTGTGATTAAAACCAAACAAACCCACCTTGCTGTGGATATTTGTGTGCTTTTCAAAGCGAGATCCACTAAGTAGTTTAATAAACGATAAGCACCCTGTTTGGAAGAATTAATAAGAATCATGCTGCACTGATGTAAGCATTTAATATTGAGGGGAAGTTTTTTGTGCAATATTTTACCATTTGTCAGGATTTTAAGTCATTCCTGGTGGGATACAGGATGCTGTTCTTGCTGAGGGTGGTGGTTTTTTTGTTGCTTGCTTTTATATGATTCTGGATTACTCAAAATCTCCATTGATTTGTTCAATAGCTACAACATGTTGTTGGATTCAGCTAATTTAGTTAATTTTAAATGTTTGTGAGTTAGAAAAACACCTTGTTGGATTCAGCTAATTTAGTTAATTTTAACTGTTTGTGAGTTACAAAAACACCTGGGGCTTATTTCTAACCAAGCAGCCTGTTTTTCTGTTTCAGAGGTACATGCCACAGGGTTCAACTATCAAAATGAGGACGAAAAGGTTACTCTCTCCTTCCCCAGTACTCTCCAGAAAGGTAAGAGCTATTTTCATGCTTTCTGTTTGCTTCAACCCTGTGTTTAAGATGTTTGCACTTGAAAAAAGCTGCAGTGGGACCGCTCTGTCTTCCCTGAAGTTTCTGATGAGGAATTCAGTGCTCCCTGGGGAGTCTGTTCACTATGAATCCCTTTGTGAGCCTCTGGAATTGAAAATTGTTTTGCTCTTGGTGATGTTTGCTTCCAGCACCTGAGGCCACTCTGATTATTTACCTGCTATTGGGAGTCAGGCTCAGAAGCTACTTAGGTTAGATACAGATGATCTGTTTTCCTCTGACTGAGAATGAGCTAATCTGAATTACTGCAGTATTTTCCTGGGCGGGAACCTACTAATTCTTTTGAAACTGCTACTTTTTTTTTTTTTTTTTTTTTTGCTCTGAGGAGTTTGTTGATTGAAACTCAGCTCCTTGGTTTGAACAAAGCGGTTTTCTTTCATCTCGACGAATCCAAATAGAAAGATTCTAGGGTGAGGAAACTTCCGTGTGTGGTGCTGTGGGATGTTGGCATCCTGCCCCTCTGCTCCAGATCAGCTTTCCCCTTTTGCACTTGAGACATCGAGGGCGGAATAAATCCTGAGACTAATTGACTTACAAGCCTGAACGCAGCCAATGCTCCAGCCTGGCTTTTGTAGAAGATTTCGTAGATGCTATTATTACTTAGGAGCCATCCTGTATTTTTGCAAACTTTATTCAAAGGGAAGGATTGTAGGGTGGGAAGTCTCAAATGGCTTAAGGTGGGTCTGGAAGGAGGGTGAAGGGTTTGGAGGGAGGCTGGCAAAAGGGACATTTATTTCGGAGGGGCAGTGGGCCAGCTGAGCAGCCTGGCCTGAAGGTCCAGGCCAAAGAGATGTTCTGTTTGACACATGGAAATAACAATGTCCCCTCTGTTTCTGTTACAGGGACGGGGACGCTAAAGATAGACTTTGTAGGGGAGCTGAATGATAAAATGAAAGGTTTTTACCGAAGTAAATACACCACCCCTACTGGAGACACGCGCTACGCTGCTGTCACTCAGTTCGAGGTATGGGCTGTATTTTTGTTTTCAGGGAATGTCATTCTTCATATAGGATTTATTCTTAGAAGAAGCAAGGACCTGATTGCCTGGCTTTAGCTATATCCTCTGGGTGAATTTCAAAAATCCATATTTATTTGCTCCTTGCTCTCAGTGACCATGGGTAAGACTAAAAGCAGCCCTTTACGTTGCGACTTGAAGGTCAGTAAATTCTGGATCTGGCAAATTCCCCAGCCAAGAATCATGCTGATGGTGTGATGCATTGTATATATACAATAGCTGCAATGTTTAAAAACAGCTGTTTATTTAGATGTGGTCAAATAACTCAGTGTAACTTTCCTTTGTGAAGTATATTAATTTTTTTAATAGGACACTGCCTTTATCACAGTATCTTAATGACATCCAAGATGTGAGCCAGATTCTGTCTTGAGCATTATGTAAACCCTGGGTATAATGACAGAATTTTATACCATATTGTAATTTCCTAGTTATCTGCCTGGTTACATAAAATCATGGAGTATTTACTTCGTACAAATAGAACATTTCTTGGGTGCAGTCTACTGCCAGAATATAAATAGGTGGTCTTGTGCGTACGGTCTGTGAACGCCTGGGTGCCCTCTCTGCTTTCACATGACTGAGCTTTGCTCCTCTCATGACTCTGCTGAATTTTGCTCCGACTGTAGGATTCCATCAGAGCACAGAGTGCTTTTCAGCTGCTTTCTTTTTTTTTTTTTCTTTAACCAAGAGTGAAAGAAGTTATCACAGTAAGAATAAAACGCTCTAATGCGGAGTGTCAATGAGGAGACTGTACCAATGACCATCACTCACCCAACTTCTTGCCTGTAAAATGTGCTGAATTTTTGTGTGTGTTTTATTGCCACAATCTCTTGATTTATTTTTTTCATGCTCTTATTTCCTCCAGGCTACTGATGCTCGCAGAGCTTTCCCTTGCTGGGATGAGCCTGCTATCAAGGCAACATTTGATATTTCTTTGGTGGTTCCTAAAGACAGAGTAGCTTTGTCAAATATGGTAAGTTCTTGATGGGCAAATAAAGAGTGTTTTAAATATAACTGTAATAATGCCAGCTGATTATTTGGTGGTTAATAGTGTGCCTTGGTAACAGACAGAACTAGGGATGTAGGCTGTCTTGCTAACTATTACTGAGCAGCTCGAAATTGAGAGGACTTTTAAAAAAGATGATATTGTGATGTCAGCTGCTGGCACAGAACCTAAACAGGTTGTACAAACCACAGTGGTGTTTCTTTAAAAGAAAACCCAAAAGTCTTAGCATATGTCATGCCACGTGCTGCTTGATTAAGAGTGACTGGGGAAAAAAAAAAAGGGCCTTTGCGTGTTTATATAGCTGTTACAGCTACAGAAGCAGACGTAGCACTGGAGATAAATAAGCATATTTTCTGCCCTAGAGGATTTTTGACCAGGCTGGGTTACAGTGTGCAAACAGAAGCACCTCTCTCACAAATACAAGTGGGCATTTTCAGGTTGCTACTTTAAATACGATGCAAATATTTCGAGGAGATGTTGCTGGAGAAGAGCAAGTCAGTTTAAAAATAGCTGGTTTTATTCCAGTAGCTCACTTACAATTACCTGTAAAGCCCAGCCTTGCCCACTGACCACAGGGTTACGGTTTGTGTTTCAGAATTTACAGTGAAAGCCTTGCTGGGGTGTGGGTAATATTCTTTTTGAAGGACAAATGTGATGTGTTCAGCTTTGCAGTAATGGAATAGAAGGTATATATCATAAAAGCCCACCTCCATATGTGAATGGGGCATTTTCAGTTAGGAGGGGAACTACATCGTGGTCTGTATTTTAAAATCATAGAATCATAGAATGGTTTGGGTTGGAAGGGACCTTAAAGATCATCTAGTTCCAACCCCCCTGCCCTGGGCAGGGACACCTCCCACCAGACCAGGTTGCTCAATAGCCATCCAGCCTGGCCTTGAACCCCTCCAGTGATGGGGCATCCACGACCTCCCTGGGCAACCTGTTCCAGTGCCTCACCACCCTCACTGTAAAGAATTTCTTCCTAGTATCTAACCTAAATCTCCCCTCCACCAGCTTAAAACCATTGCCCCTTGTCCTGTCACTACTCTTCTTTGTAAAGAGTCCCTCTCCAGCTCTTCTGTAGGCTCCTTTCAGGTACTGAAAGGCCGTTATGAGGTCTCCCTGGAGCCTTCTCTTCTCCAGGCTGAACAACCCCAGCTCCCTCAGCCTGTCTTCATAGGAGAGGTGCTCCCTCATAAAAGAAAAAGTGCATCCAATCATAAAAGAAATCCGTTCATTTTAAATGCCTGACTCATAACGATGGAATAGTTGGGTGAATCTATTGTGTGATAGAGTTTCATTTCCATGACATTAACACTCCCTTTTGTGTTGGAAGAACGTCATCGACCGGAAGCCGTACCCCGACGATGAGAACCTGGTGGAGGTGAAGTTTGCCCGCACCCCGGTCATGTCCACGTACCTCGTCGCCTTTGTGGTGGGGGAGTACGACTTCGTGGAGGCCAGGTCCCTCGACGGCGTCCTAGTGCGTGTTTACACTCCTGTGGGCAAAGCAGAACAAGGAAAGTTTGCATTAGAGGTAAATGCTCTCGGGGCTACATTATCCCTGTAACCATCTCCAACACAAGGACACAGCCCTTTCTTCCATTCCCTCACCTAAATCCATCCAAAAGTGGTGATTTCTATTTTCTTTTTCCTTTAATGGCTCAGAGTCTGGGCTTGATATTAAACAGAATTTCAGTTGTGGACAAAGGAGTGTCTGCAGTGATGGGAACATAAGGTTTAATTCAGTTCTGAAGTTGGGGATGTAGCCTTTGGTCCAAAGATGCTGAGAAGCACTGAAGGGTTGGCTACAGCCCGGGAGGAAAAGGGGATGGGAATCTTCCAAACCATTGTGCTCTGGAAGCTGGGAATGGGGCTTCTGGAAGAAATCTTGTGTGTGCCGCTTTCTTAAGCGAGTTTCAGTCATAAATTTTCAAGTTTTACCAATTGTTCCAAGTTAACATAACATTTCTCCTCTTATTTCTTACAGGTTGCTGCTAAAACTCTGCCTTTTTATAAGGACTACTTCAATGTTCCTTACCCTCTTCCTAAAATTGATCTCATAGCTATTGCAGACTTTGCTGCTGGTAAAGTAACTCACTTTATTGATGAACTGTATTTTATTTGAATTTTAAACATTTAGGAAGAGGTGTGTATCAATATCAATAAACCTTTGTATTTATTTTATAAAGGTGCCATGGAGAACTGGGGCCTTGTTACTTATAGGTATGCTGTTAAAATACTGTCTTTCCCCCCCTCTTTGTTCACTAATTCTTGGAAGTAATTGGCTTAGTTTTAGGGAGCTGTAATTACTGGGTGTCATCCCAAATGAGACTGAGTAAATACCTTCAGCTCTTGCTTGGTTTTAGGGAGCTGTAATTACTGGGTGTCATCCCAAATGAGACTGAAACCGAGCTCTTGCTTCGGTTTGGATAATTTTAACTTCTGCAGTTATTGTACCAACCCTAGGAAGGCAAAAAGGAGCTATTCCAGCTCCTGTCTGGTGGTAGGAGATTTTTAAGTCTCTGGCAGCACTGCCTGTTCTACAAGAGAGCTCTCTTGGCCGCGTTTTTCCCCGTAAAACTTACTTACTGACACAGCTGGAAGAGGGGTTTTTTTTTTTTATTTTCTGCTGTAGGCAAGTTGGTAAATTCAGCAGCCACAGTGTAACCATGTGGATACGAGTAAATCAAAAATATTAACTTGCCTTCCTTTTCAGTTTGTTTTTTTGGGTGGTTTTTTTTTTTTTTTTTTTGCTCATTTGGTCAAGCTTTTGTACTTTCGCTTGATATTATTATCTGTGCTCATTGTTGGAATGATTTCCCTTCATTTTGTACAACATTGCTCTTGTAAGCTTTGGACTTTAAAATCCTGCAATAGTTTAAATTTCTTCTGATAATTTGGCCTTTAAAAATTGAAAAGGAAATTTGAGCCCAGGTTTACAATCTACTTATCACGATTCCGATGAAATCTGATATTTCACTCCCTGTGGGGAAAAAAAATACTTGTCCTGGATGAGTAGAATTTTTGGAAGCCTTTCTTAATTGTGCTATTAATTCCCACCCACCCCCCCTCCCTTTATGCTCAGTGGGGCACGCTTTGCTTTATCCCCCTGGGGACTGAAGGTTGCCAGAACCTGCAGGCACAATATTTTGAGCTGTGTGGTTTTTTCCCCCCGTTGAGTTACAGCAGCCCCGAGGTCCTTTCGGACCGAGCCGCTGAGTCCTGCTGGTGCCTTTAGGGGTGTTTTTAGGGGCAGGTTTTGTGCCCACTGGTGTGTGTGGTTGTGTGTGCACAGCCCCGTGGGTCTGTGGTGGGGAGCGTGACGCTGGAGGAGCTGGAATTCCCTTGGGGGATGAGGGAGGCAGCGAAGACTCGCTGAGCACCCGCCGTGCGGTGCCAGGGGAGTTACAGCTCAGGTTCCTAGATCGTGTAGGTGAGCTCTTTGATAAGCAAAGGATAAACCTTCTCGTTCCTGCCTGGGTTTTTGCACTTGTCTTCTTGCATGCCGTAAGGAATTACCGCTCCAAAGCATTCCAACAGCTGTGGAACTTACCAAAATCGTTTAATGTCTACACTGAAGTAGCTTTTGGTTTGTTTCAGTTGGACTGATCACTTCTTAGCTTGCTTAGGTAATTTAACCTACTTTTGATTGTGGTTTTTTTTTTCCTTTAGGCGTGTACCACTCTGTTCAGTTCTCTTTCTCTCTTAAATACAGGGAGACTGCGTTGCTCATTGACCCCAAAAATTCCTGTTCTTCATCTCGCCAGTGGGTTGCTCTGGTTGTAGGACATGAACTGGCTCATCAGTGGTTTGGAAACCTTGTGACCATGGTATCTAACAGTTACAAGTTCTTTTGAGTTTTCTTTGACGTGTGCTTCCTATCACGTGTGTCTTCACGTGCCCCTTAATAGCAGCTGTGCTATCTTTAAAATTTAAAAATTATATTTTTTTTTTAAATAGTAGCAGCTGTGCTATCTTTAAAATTTAAAAATGAATTATTTTTTTTTAAATAGAGCTTTATTACCACTTTCTTCTTTACTTTAGAAGTTCTTTAGAAGTATTCCACATCTTTTTGATGTGAACTGATGTGGAGTTGTTTGCATGTAGCCCCAGGTAAAGCTGAACAGGTGATCTGTGGAGATGATTTTGGGTCATCAGGTTTCTAACTCCCCTGAATGACTTCTGTGTATCTGTCCAAATGGTTGGATGTTTAACTCATTTTGGTGGGAATAAAAGCAGGGCTTCTGGAGCCCCAAATCTGCATTGTTCTGGCTTTCAGGCTGCTTAAATGAAGTGTGAGTGGGTGGAGGACAAAACTCTTTAGTCCAGACTTTAGTCTGGAGAAGAGAAGGCTGAGGAGGGATCTGATCAACACCTATAAATGCTTCAAGGGTGGGTGTCAGGAGGATGGGGCCAGGCTTTTTTCAGTGGTGCCCAGGGACTTGAAAAGAGGAAATGTTCACATGCGTGAATATACGAAGTTCCACCTAAACATGAGGAGGAACTTCTTCACTGTGAGGGTGGCAGAGCCCTGGCAGAGGCTGCCCAGGGAGGTGGGGGAGGCTCCTTCTCTGGAGACATTCAAACCCCTCCTGGACACGTTCCTGTGGGCCCTGCTCTGGGTGGCCCTGCTCTGGCAGGGGGTTGGGCTGGATGACCTCCAGAGGTCCCTTCCAACCCCAAATCATTCTGTGATCCTGTGAAGACAGAAAAAACAGGGAGGTGAAAAGGTTCTGAGATCCAACCAAATTGCCCAAGAATCTCTTCTGCAGTTGCATTAATCCTTTGGCACCCATCTGTGTGTGCTGGAACCTTGTCTTGAAAACCAGATGCCATCAGAAGCGTAAAAGAGAATTGGATGGTCTCCACTCTAAAAATAAAGTGGGGCTTATCAGTGTAGTTTCAGTGGCAGCTTTCCTTAGTGAGATTCCACCCTCCCTGGGGTGGGTGATTCATTGAGGGCAGAAGAAGTGGTTCTTTGGAGAGCAGCTCATTGGGCTGGTCCCACGTCCTGCCCGGCTGTTTCTGCTGAAGGGCCCGTGTTGTCACCACTGCCCTTTCTCAGTTAAAGAATGGTTGGTAAGTGCAGTTATGGAAAAGGGTGTTTTCTTCCTCAGTATCCGTGGCGTGTTTCCTTATCTCGCCTACTTCAGTTAAATAGTAGAAATGAAGGGAAGAATTTTTAAAATGTCAACGTAACGTTCTTATCTTAAAAAAAAAACAAAGCCCACCTTTGGCTGGTGAGAAACAACTTTTAACTGTTTATTAGATTTCGGGTTTCTGTAGTCTAGAGCACTTTTTTTCAGATGCCAAGTTCTCCCCTGTATGTCAGAATATTCTTTAGCAAAAATAAACCCAACCCAAGCCTCCTGCAGCTGCTGCTGGTCAGTGGGGAACAGACACCGTTGTCATGACCTGTGATTCTGCTGCTTCACTGCCCCGTGGCCTCATGTGTCAATGACTTTTCCCCAGTCTCACTGACATTCTTAGCTGTTCCCCCAGCAGTTCTCCTCCATTCAGGGTTTCTAAAACATAAAACAGAGGGGCAGACAGTCGCTGGGTGCTCATCACTCTTCTGGGGCTGATAATTTCTTTATAGAGAGGAAATTGCACTTCCAAGTGTTACCTGTTCCCTTGATTTGTACTAAACCAGGCCCTGAGCAGCTTCTCTTTGCTAGAAACTTCTTGTTGATGGAAAGGAGCTCTTGGAATATTGTTCTTTATTCTGCCTTCTTATTTTTCCAGGAATGGTGGACCCACCTCTGGCTGAATGAAGGATTTGCCTCCTGGATCGAGTACCTGTGTGTAGATCACTGCTTCCCGGAGTACGACATCTGGACTCAGTTTGTTTCTGCTGATTATACACGAGCTCAAGAGCTCGATGCCTTAGACAACAGTCATCCTATTGAAGTAAGTTCTGTCTTTGCTATCGATTGTCTCTGCCTTTTTCTTGTCATCTGAGCGTTAAGGAAAAAGGGGACTTTACAGTCATTCACGACACAAAGGAAAATCTCAGGTTGCGTTTGCACTTTGTGGGTTTTCCTCTACTTGAATTGGTATCTCAGAAGTGAGGTTTGAGGGGGTGAAGATCTGGAGTTGTTCTGCTCTGATGGTTTAAATGGCAAAGCTGTGATCAAAACTCATCATGATTTGTGTTTTGGTTTGGTTTCTGGTCACAGCGGGCAGTTTTCTGGCCCTTGAGCACAGTGAAGTAGCCCCTGACTTGAAATAAGGAGGCTGGGGCTGGGCTTGCTGCTTTGGAAACCAGGCAGGAGTTTGGGGATGGAGAGGGCAGCAGCAGCAGCTTGTTCCAGCAAAACTGGGAGCTCTGCTAAAAGAAAACTCCCTTGAAATTCCTAGAGATCACCATGGACAAGTTTTCAGACGGCTTAAGAGGTGTTTGGTGTAATAGATGTTGGGAGATGACCTTGCTTTGTACCACAGGTCACTTTAGAGTGAGTGACTCACTGACTGTGTTTCCTGAGTGCACATTGTTCACCGTCCCAGAATTAAACAGCTTCCACTGGTTGTTTTTTTTTGGTTTTTTTTTTTGCCTTTGGGTAAGTGTTGAATGAAAGGATTGAAGCAAGATCCCCAAAGTGATTTGATTAAAAACCAAAACCTCAGTTAAAGTGTGTTTAAGCTATAAACCAATCCTAACCCAGCTGTGTGGGAATGAGCTCAAATGACTGGGAGCAGAGACAATGCAGGGATGGACCTTCATTTCTCACCTTCAGTCAGAAAACTCTGCTCCTGAAACACTAGAACAAGCGAAATCAAACCCTTTAATGGCAATTAAAACTGTTCTCACTGTCAATTGTCCTGTTTGCCACAGGTTAGTGTTGGCCATCCATCTGAAGTAGATGAAATATTCGATGCTATTTCTTACAGCAAGGGAGCGTCTGTAATCCGAATGCTACACGACTACATTGGTGATGAGGTAAAGACTGGTGTTAAAAAGCCAAATGTGGGCTGTCAAATCTCTTCACAGTTAAAAATGCTGTTTAAAAAAAATATATATAATATTTAAATCTGTGTATTCTATATTTTGAAAACTTTGCTCCAATCTGTATTTGGGATCTATTTGAACTCAACTAAGAGATATAAGATAGCGGGGAAAATGTGGAAGGAGTTACAGATGTACATTCTGATCCTAAGATTCCTTGGCTGATTCTGGGATATAAATACAGAGTGGAGGGAGGAGAGAAAATCCCTCCGTTCTGGTGCCATTACATATTCCATTGTGTGTTCCCAGGACTTCCGGAAAGGAATGAATTTATATTTAACGAAGTTCCAGCAGAAGAACGCCGCTACAGGTAACGGGTGGTTATTGGATGCTTAAGAAAAGTCATTTCTGGAGACAAAACTTTTAGTGCTAAAGTGATGAGTTCTTACACAGCTGCTTTTCCTTTTTCCACCCGAGATAACTGAAATGCAAGGAAATAATGGGCTTGTTCCTGGTTTCATGCAACGTGTCCCTGGAGGGCCAGGATTGGGGCTCTCAGGGTTCCCTCTCTCAGCACGTGTGGCTGAGGTGAACCCAAAGGGCTGTGCTTACTGTTGGTGACCACATCTGTGCACTAATCTGATTTAGAGACAGAGTGTGTCGATCTGCTGTGTCAGCCTTTTGCAAGCTTCCCTTGGCAGTATTGATTGCGTGTGTGATTAAACAGTTCAAAGTCTTGTCTAACGGCGCTTTCTTTACTTCAACCTTTTTTTTGTGTGTGTCAGGCCTAAATGTGGAAGTGGAACATCACGCTCTGTCAGCCCAAACAAGTCTGTGTTCGGTCAGCTCTTTTGGCATAATATATGAAAAACTTGAGGAAAAGATTCTTCTTTTTACCATTTTTAAATATTTAATGCTCATTTTTATTCTACTTTATCACGACGTGTGTTGCTTGCGTTGTTTTAGTGGTAAAGCAGCTTTTTTTCTCCCCTTCCTCCCCCATCAGTGGTTTAAACTATTTCCTTTTTCTTGCCTGTTATCTGTTACAATTTGATAAAAACACACCCAAAACATATGAAGGGGGAACTGGAGTAATAATACATCACCCTCTAGTGCCCATATGGTGTCCTTAATAGTGTCTGACATGCCAAGACTCCAGGAATCCTTACTCAGACTCTTCTTCTGCAGAGGACCTCTGGGAAAGCCTGGAAAAAGCCAGTGGGAAACCTATCGCTGCCGTGATGAATACATGGACCAAACAAATGGGATTTCCCCTCATTTATGTGGAGGCTGAACAGGTAAACATAGCCCTGCATATTAAAAGTTCTGCCGTGATGAATGTGCTGGAATGGTTCTTGAGGTACCTCCTTTTTCTGGAGGAGAACTCGAGTTGCTCCAATTAACAGAGGGAACATGTGTGCATTGTGATATACAGAAGATGAGATTAAATGTTCTGATAACTCCTTTCCCTCTCTTTTTCTTTTCTTTTTTTCTTTTCCCCTCAGCAAGAAGATGACAAAGTGTTGAAGTTAGTCCAGAAGAAGTTCTGTGCCAGTGGACCATATACTGGTAAGATGAGTGCTAAGAGCAGGAATGGAGCGTTCGTTGCTTTTCGTGCAGCGATTTTGGGAGATGAAGAGGCCGCGCTGCAGAGCGGGCAGGTGCTCTGCTTGGATTTGGGTGCTAACTTCAGAAAATCTAAGGTTTAAGGCTCTCACGCAGGTAGTTTCTGTGTCCTCCTCCCATGAAGAGCAATCTGCAGTCTTTGCTTCAGTTTTCCTTCTGAGATGCTTCTCTTCTGGTGTCCAGTTTGAGGCCAGCGCTGCCACCTGAGGAGCTCTGCGAGCTACTGGTTTTATAATAGTGCTCATATAAAAATGCCTCCCCTGGAAGCCAGCTCCCCCTTAGAACACAGATTCCACCCATCTTGTGGAAATTAATGTTTGGCTTGAAAGGTGATTTAGAAAATCTTGGGGTTTAGCTCTAGAACTGCCGTTTTCCTTCAGATTTGTGCCTTTTTTTAGGCTTAGATTTGAGTAGCGTTGCTTCAAACGCTGCTGAAACCTGTTTGAACATCAGGCAGAGTTTCTCGGTTGTGTGAATGCTTTTTCTTTTTCCCCTTAGCCTTTCCTTTTTTTTTTGTTTCTTCTTTTAGGGGAGGATTTCCCCATGTGGATGGTCCCCATAAGTATTTGTACAAGCGATGACCCCACCAGTGCCAAAATGCAGATACTGATGGACAAACCAGAGCTCACCTTGGTTTTGAAAGATGTCAAACCAGACCAGTGGGTGAAGGTGAGCTCTCATGAAGGAGGACATATCGCTGGGAATAAGACTGATTATCGCTGTAATGTTCCCTTGCATTTCATTTTCCTCTTCTCTGGGTTTTTTTTCCCCCTTGTAATCTTGTGTTTCTTACGGAGGGGCCTCTCTCTGCTGCTCCTGAATATTGGCTCCTCTCTATAACGCTTTCTTAGTGTGGTCTTTTGCTGTCCAAGAGCAGTCTAGACAATGTAAACTTGAACCTTTTAAGAGTCCCAGCCCGGAAAAACAGTGTGCAATTAGAGGAGGCTTTTGAGTTGCAATGTGGTGGCTTTTTTGGTATCCCATGGCAACCACTGTTTAGTTAAAAGTCCATCTTGAGCGAAAAAATAGCCCTGTTTATCTTTCATTAGTGTGAAGGTTTTCCACTCTCTATTGCCAGAGCAGGACAAATTTAT